AAGGTTCTTATGACAGATTGTTACGAAGCATTGGCAAATTTTCCCAAAAATGAATTTTGGCAAATTTTCCGAGATACGGATTGTCGCTTCATCGTGGAAACATTTCCAAGGATGGATTGTTACGAAGCATTGACAACCTTCCCTAAATCGGATTGTCATACATCATACAAGAGTTGTGTTGGCAACTATTCCCAAAGAAAAGAGGATTGTCATCACAGCAAAAGCACCGACATACTGGTTCATCAAAAGCAAAATTCAAGTAGCATTAAGGATCAACAAGTAGTGGTCTTTTCGAAGACTATCACAGCGGAATTTGGAGGCAGTTACAGGCGTAGCAGTCTTCAGGCGTTATTCTCTAGCTTGTAGAAGATCGTCAAAACAAACAGTAGGATGGCATTCCCTAGCTTGTGGAAGGTTGTCACAACAGCAAATGCAGCAACAAATCGGTTACTTTAAGAGACGTGTGCTCGACAATGCAAGAAATGCGTTTCTTAACTCTCTTATCTGTTTTAAACTAACGCTAGTTTGCAGGTATTGGCGTTATAAGAGTGATTTAGGATTGCAGAACGTTCTGAATCATTCTCCGTCCCTATCGATACTTTGACTTTTGTTTTTGAAACTTGCGTTCCTCCAAACTTAGTCAAAGTGGGGGCTTCTGTAGACACCCATTTGTGTCTCCCCAAAACCAAACCCAGTGATGAATACCTTTCATGTCATTTGATTATCAAACAAAGCGAAAGTGTGAAAATTCTAGTGATGAGGATGTTTTTATTAAAAATATATCTTCTTTCTGTTTTTGAAAATATTTCTTTTCTTACCTTATTTTTGAAAAACGTGCATTCCAGTTTAGTTTGGTCCATGATATGGGTCCAATAATGGTGTAGTTGGATGGGGCTTGAAAAGACCTTTCCAACGATATATTATAAGCCCAATTCCGATAAATAATGAGGAAGTTATGGCCAAAATACTAAACTGGGCCCGATTTGGTTTTTATATGCGGCTCAATGATCTAGATGAGGACCTATTATTAATTATCATTCCTAAAGCTATTAGGATTGATTATAGTCTTCTAGAATACTCTAGAAGGTTCTGTTAAATCCTAATGGAGTTAGGATTGATAATTATGTTTCAAAGAGTTTGAAATTGAATAAAACTACTCCTTTTGAGAATCCTTATTTTGTACGATGTGGAATATATTCAGATTTTATTTTTGTGCCTCATAATCTTTATCCAAATTTTATATGGTTGGATAGATCTTGTAATTATATTTCCAATGATATATTATTATATTAATTCCGATCTATAACGAAAACTATATGAATGGAAAATACAAAACATTATCCAAAACTGACACCCTTCCACTATTTCGGCCATATCTTTTTATCTACAAAAGATTTTAATCTTATTCTAATTGTGTTAGAAAGTATACTTCAAGAGCTTTCCAATCACATATTATATGATTTATTTGGACGTCTGGATCAAAAGATATGATAAAAACAAAATCCGCAAAAACTGTTTTGCAGCGCAGGACGCCAAGCCTAGCATCTGGCGCCAGACTTAGCGTTTGGCGCTGCACTCAGCGTTTGGCGCCATGCGCGTGTTTGACGCCGCGATCGTGTTTTATTCTTTTCCAAACTATGATTTGTTTTTTATCCATCCGGCTGATTTTTCTCTATAAATAGCCTCCTAAAACCTCCGTTTTCAATCATCAACAACTATCAATTCTTCTCATCAATTATCGTCATCAATTCTCTAATTCTCTCTCTCATCAAGAATCTCTTGATTATTCTCTCTCTCTTTCTAAGTCAACCCTTTTAAAAACACAATTCCTCATACATTAGCACTAGACATACCTAGCATTGTTCGAAGTTGCCTTCGCCCTAGACGTGAAAGGTTTTAATTTCTGAGGGTTTGGTCCCAGATCTCTCTTTCCATTATTTAATTTAATTGTTTGATTTTATATTTTTCTTGAAGTTACTAACGCGTGCATTTTTTTATTAGAAAGAGATACGAGGCATCCAAGTAAGTGCTTTAATGGATTTTATTGATATTATGATATAGAAATCATGCTAGGCTGTTATTATGATTCCTAGTGTCATGTTAGGGTGTTTTGATCTTCCTAGTATCATGTTTAGGGTAACAACTATAATTTCTAATATCAAATATAACAATTGTGATTCCTGTGATGCTTCCTATTTTCTTTCCTAATATTCATGTTAATATCTTGTTAGGGCTAAAGCTTTGATTTTTATTGTTTAGTGACATGCTAGGGCTTGTTATTAATCTTGTAAGTATCATGCGTAGGATCTTGATATTATTATGCTTTAACATGATTATTTTAATGATGATTATTATTGTTATGATTTTTATTATTATGATTATTATTATGTTGCTTGATATATATTTATTGTTATTGCTTGATCACGCCTTTTATGCATGTTTAAAGGGAATTGGTACTTGTAATCATGCTTAATAAGATAATTAATAATCTTGTTTAGGGTTAATTTGATTATAATTCAAGTGATCGCCAATAATAGTTTTATTTGTGCATTGATATTCAACCAACATATATAAACAGGTTTAGGGTTAATCTATTGATTGCATGTTAGACAGAAAACGCACATGAATACGATCAGAATAAAGTAGAGGCCTATTATTAGGGCAGATTCAATCTCTTTTAGGTTGGATTTGTACCTGGCCTTCATCCCCGAACTACCAGTCATGGTTCCAAACCTATTGGAGTTGACGATCTCCTGGATTGTTAAGGGGTGTAACCTTCACCCTGTGAACGGTTTACAAGTTCCTAAAACTTGTTGGCGACTCTTTTGCTCTATCTTCTTTCCCTCTGGACGCCATCGCACTTTAGTGTATGATCACAGTGGGGTTCAAGTTTGGGGTAATGCTTGAAATATTCCCTACAGCGGTGGTTTTTGTTTTCGTTTAAATTGATTTTCCGGCGAAAGGGTTGGAAGGGAGGAGAGTGGTTTAGGGGGTTGGGGTCGATCGGGGGTGTGTGTTTCGAGGGTAGGGAGGGTCGGCTGGCCATTTTTGGGTGGTTAGGGAGGTTGTCAGCCGGTTCTGATTTGTTGTGGGTGGTTGGGAACGGGGCGGTTGGCTGATTTCGATTTTTTTTTTCTTTTTGCTTTAGGTTTTTTTTTATTTTTTTTTAAAAAAAGCCAATCATGTGCTGACATGTGGCATTTTAAAAAAAAAGAAAAGGTTTACCCTTTCAGCAGGTAACTAATTTTTGGGACTATTGGAGGAAAACTAACCTAATAGTTAGGATTATTAAAAAATAAACCTTAAGTGGGATTATTGTAGGTATATCGCCCATTGGTGGGATTATTAAAGTGTATTTTTCCTATATACTAAAATAACAAGCGCTAATGTCATCATTGCCTACATGTCACTTTTTTATTTAATTTTTTTCCTCCAAAATATAAGGATGATGCCATTTTTTTTCCTTTTTAAGCTACCCTATTTAACATAGCTTTAAAAATATATTCCACTTGAATTTTAAATTATAAATTTCAAATTTTTGGTTTTTTTACACATATTATGCTATTTAGTTATTTACGAGTTGTTAACAATAGTTAATTATATAATTTAATTGAAACTTCTTAATTAAAAATGAAAATTATGCACTTTCGGGAACTGTATATTCATATTTAATTAGAAACTAGATATGAAAAATGAGGAATTTTTTTTTCAGGACATGTTAAAAGTCTATGATTCAATTCTTAATTTAAAACTGTGCATCACACGGGGTTAATCTAGTTAATTTATTATAGAAAACTAGATGAAGCCCGTGCGATGCACGGTTTGTTTGAATTTTTAAAAAAATATTTTTTTTATGTATGTGCTAAAATTTGTTATATATTTAGATAAAATTCATAATATCAACAGATAATATTTTATATTTAATTAATTTAAACTTAAAAATCTCATTTGACAATTTTGCTTACATGGCATTTGAATTATTTTATTTAAAAAGAAATTAATAATCTTTTATTTTATAGGCTACAATTTAAATTTTATAATCCTACGTGGCACGTTAAGAAAATTAAATCTTTTATGGCTCTCTAAAAACTCGGAAAAAAACTCCCCTTTGTATATATATACTAGTTTTGTGCCTCGTGCGATGCACGAATTGTTTATTGATTTTTAAGATTAATTTTTTAATCTATATGTCAAATTTTAAAATATATCTTTATTGATTCAAAATTAGTTAGGAATAGATGTACTTTTGTGATGATTTAAACTATGTAGTAAATACGTAATAACTAATAATAATATTGGTGAAAATGTTCAATTAAATACATAAAAAAATATTTTTCTAAGCACATTAGGTTGACCCGATCTGTAATGACTTATGATCTGACCCGATTGACAAGTCTACATGCAGTGATAAAAATATAGAAGTATATTATTTAAGTCTATAAGATAATATTATATATAAATGTGTGTTGTACGTTTTGAACTACTTCCTTCACTCCAAAACATATTATGATATAAATAATAAATTTAGATGATAATTATTGAGAGTTATAATCTAAAATTTTGTTGAATAAAATTACAATTCAATTTGTACAAATGTTGGTATTTTATCAAAAATAACAATTTAAACTAACAATTTTATCTTAAGATTATATCCAAAATTGATTGAAAATAAAATTTAAATTAACTTTTCTATTCTACAAGATCTATCTAAATCTATCCAAGGTGGCGCAACACTTGGCAAAAAGTTGGAATGCCAAGTGTCGTTGTCTTGTGGCGGGCTAAAAGTTTAGTTTTATATATTAGTTATATATATGATTAGATTATATATTATAAAGGAAAAATTAGATATAATAATCCCAATACCTTTGTCTAATTTATGTAGAATAATCCAAACTTTAGATTATTCTAGAATAATCCGAACTTTGGAGGATCTTCTTTTTCTTTAATCCCAAATACTGGTTACCCGTTGAATGTTTTTTTTTTTTTTTTTTGTTAAAATGACACGTGTTAAAAATTAATTGGTTAAAAAATATTTTAAAAAAACCAAAATTAAAAAAGAAAAAACCACCCAGCTAAACCCCAACCACCCTAAAAATCCAGCAAACCGCCAGCCTAGCCACCTCCCTCGTAGCCGGTCGTCTCCCCTCGCCACCAGCCCAGCCACTAGGGTCGCCGCTCCGACCAAACCACCATCCCTTCCCCGAAACTCCCTTGCCACCAATAGCCCCACTCCCGAAAATCCCAAAAACCAGCAATCCATCCGCGAAAAATCCCTCAAAACAACCAGCCCCACTTGAAAACCCCTCTAAACCTCCAACCCCACTCGAAACCCCCAAATATCCTTCCCCCACCATCGAAAACCTAAGCCGCTAGGGTTTTCGACGGTGAGAAATAGGTTGTTGGGGGTTTTCGACGGTGGGGGAGGGTTTCAAAGGGAGTTTCGACTGGAAAATGACGGAATTGTGGGTGGATGTGGGTTGCAACTTCGGCATAGGGCGTTAGGGGGGAAAGCGGCGCATAGTTGGGGCAGGGGAAGGGAGGAGTTGGCGCGGCCGGCGGTGGCAGGTTGTGGTAGTGGTGGGGGTTACGATTGTCAGGTACGGAATGGTGAGTTTTTTTGTTTTTTTTTTAAATTTAATTTGTTTTGTTTTTGTTTTTTTTGGACCAATTGTAGCTTGACACGTGGCACATAATCTGTTATAACAGGTCATTGACTTCTGTTGACCGGTTTGGGATTGAAGAAAAAAGAAGACCTCCCAAATTTCGGATTATTCCATTATTAACGAAAGTTGAGATTATTCTATATAAATTAGACAAAGTTGTTGTGGTGTTATAATCAAATTCTGTTATTTAACTATAACCTCCCTCACCTATCCTCACCTTCACACCTTCACCTTCACCTTTTTAATTGTCAAAAAGAAACCCCGTCACAATTCAAACTACAGCAATTCACAACATAATTTTTACACTCATAACAACAAAAAAGATTTCCCTTTTCTTTTTCTTTTTCTCTGTATCTCCACTTCACAGAATCAGACCCTTCCACCTGCCAATATGCATAACTTCTTCAATGTCTTCATCTCAATCCCATCAAATTAAATTGTATAACGCTTAATTTTCTTCATAATCACAAAAAAATTAGGGTTTTTTTGTCAATTTCTGGAATTTCCCCCTTTCAGAAAAGGGGATTATTATTTTTTTCTTTTTAATTTGCAATGTCGGATTTGGATAGTTTGATTACAAAGAAAGTTGCTGATCGCTACTTTAAGCGTGAAGTTCTTGGTGAAGGTACCTATGGTGTTGTCTACAAGGCCATCGATACCCAGGTTTAACTTTTTGATTCTTTTTCGTTCATTTTTTTTTGTTCTTGTATGATAGATGGGTTTCTAAATTTGCAATTGTTTACTACATTTTCGTTCATATCATATTATTATATGCTTAGTAGTATTACGCAGTTTAAGGGGTGGATTAATTTAATGTAGAATTGTTGTTGTTGATGCTACATATTCTTACTTGTGTGTGTTAGTTTCATAAACTAGCTTTTGAATGTTGATATGTTGTTTAATCATATTCTTACTTGTGTTTGTTCATAGTACTATTGCTATGGTATTATTAATTTATTTTTGTTAATATGATTAGGGGAGTTATTGAATTTAGAGGAAGTGATATGATGTGGGGATGATATTGGAAGTTATGATGGAAATTACTATTTTTTTTGTTTTAAAAGATAAAAGAAATAGTGAAGTTAACAACATGTGAGGATTAAGAGTTTAAAAGGTTACGGTGAGAAGTTGTAAAATTGACTTTGAAATTATTATATTTTTTTATGAAGAAAACTTTGAAATTATTATATAGATTAGTATTAGTTTTGTTTTCAATTAAGGTGGAAATAGGAATATAAATGCAACTCCGTGGTTTAGATGAAACCTTGTTTATTGGTAAAATTTTACTAATCTCTATGATAATATCTCCTTTGCCTTTTATTTATGCATCTTTTTTTGGTGATAGGCGTAAATTTTGTCATGGTGGTTTTTGTGATGAGTTTGGTGGGAATATGAATTTTTCTCCTTATAAAAATATATAAACGATCTTATTTAACATGTTTTTCCTAGTAGTTTCTGTGTAATTTTGTTTTGCTTGCTCTGTCATGTACTTATGTTTATTGTGAATTATATGTAGCTCATCTTTGGTCAGAAAGAATAGTGGCCTTGCATAGAAAGGGTCAAAAGTAAGCTTGCTTATTTGGAGATATGTCGTGTGCCCAGCACTTGAAGTAGTGATAGTCATAGATTTTTGGGAGTTTACTCTTGTAGCACCATATGCATTTTAGTATGATTCACATAGGATATGATCTGAGGAATTGGTGATCTTAAATTCTTGGTTTTAAAATTTTTAATTGTATATGTGTGACCCTATGATGTTCTTGTTTTAGTGATAGCTTTGGTTTAAAAATTCATTCGCTGCTATATGCAGACAAATCAAACTGTTGCAATCAAGAAAATTCGTCTTGGAAAGCAGAAGGAAGGTGTAAATTTCACTGCCCTGAGAGAAATTAAACTGTTAAAAGAGCTTAAAGATCCTAACATAATAGCGTTGATAGATGCCTTCCCCCATAAGGGAAACTTGCATCTTGTGTTTGAGTTCATGGAGAGTGATCTTGAAGCTGTCATTCGGGATAGGAATATTGTACTCTCTCCTGCTGACACAAAATCTTATCTACAAATGACCTTGAAAGCACTAGCTTTTTGTCACAAGAAGTGGGTCCTTCACAGGTGCTTCTTACAACTCAAAATTACTGGAGTGCTGTTGGCTGAGAGTGATTTGATATATGTGCTGACTAACTCTGTGTCTTTAACAGGGATATGAAGCCAAACAACCTGTTGTTAGCAGCTGATGGACAGCTCAAACTTGGGGATTTTGGTTTAGCACGTATATTTGGCAGTCCAGATCGCAGGTTTACCCATCAAGTGAGTATTAAGTAGTTTTGGATTTCATTTATGTCCTCTGATTGCTTGTTGCTAATTTAAATTCTATATAGAGGTGTATCTCTTTAGACACTTTAGATTGACAAGTTTCCCTCTTGGGTTACTACTCTATTTTTATTCCTCTTTCTAGTGCATGCTGAGTATACCTAACTTGTTTCAAATAAATTTGAATTACTCTATCAGTATGCATTCTTAGACTTTTTAAATTTTTAATTAATTTTTTCTTAAACTAAATTTTGTTTGGGGAAATTCTCATTAGTAGCCCATGTAAAATTACACATTTCAATGGTAACAAATTTTTTTACAAATTCTCCCAAATAACATTGCTTTTGACAAGTTTCCCTAACATGACAATTTATTGGTAATTGGCTTAATTAAGCAAAAATTTACTTAATAATTAACAAAAATAAAAAAAACCAGCCACCCTGCCAACCCTCGCCACCTTGCTCCCCACCCCGGCCACCCCCGTCGGCGCCGTACTACCCCTAAAAGCGTGCGCCGGCAACATCGCACCACCACCCACCCCTACCCCTCCCCTCGGAAAAATCTCCCTCCTCATCGGCCGGCGCTGGCAACATTATTCACCCTATCCCTTGTCATCTCCACTCCCTTTCCCCATTTAACCACCACTCGAAACCCTTAAACCCCCAAATAAAAAATCTAGGGTTTCGATTTGGGTGGTAGGGTATTGGGGTGGAGATCAAAGGGGGGAAAGGGAGTGGAGACGACAAAGGATGGGGGGAATCGTGTTTGTCGGCGAGGAGAGGATTTTGGTGCCGGCCGATGAGGAGGGAGAGTTTTCCTAGGGGAGGGGAAGGGGTTTTAGGGAGAGGGGAAGGTGGTTCAGGGGGTGGTTTAGGGGTGAGGTCTAGGTGGGGTGTCGCCGGCGCGCGGTTTCAGGGGTACTACGGCGCCAGCGGGGGGTGGCCAGGGTGGGGGCAGGGTGGCTGGGTTTTTGTATTTTTATATTTTTATTATATTTTTGTTGTTAATTATTAAAATAATTTTTGTTTATCTAAGCTAATTAGTTGTTAATTACAAATATATTGTCATGTTAGGGATACTTATCAAAAGTAATGCTATTTGGAAATTTGTAAAAAAAAATTGTTACCATTGAGAATGTGCAATTTTACATGGCTACCGATGGGAGTCCCCCCCCCTCTCCCTCTTTTTTTATTGATTGAAACTTATTTGACATCTACAATAGTAATATGAATATAATGAAACAAAATAGAACTATCCTTTTGTAAAATAAAACCATATTGTTATTTCATACTGTGTTCCATGATTGAGTTTCTGGATTCTGTGGCAACTGCTTTTAAATTTATTGAAATCGTGGTTTGGAATTAAGCCGCTGAATCTGAGATGATGCAAACAATGCTAAGATCAGGGCCAGAGTTCTTTCTCTAATCTCTGTAGAATCTCTTCATGTTATTTTCTTTAGGTAACTTTTGAATGAACAATTTCTGTTCAGATGATGACAACTTGATTGTGTTGCTAGCATATCTTATAGATTGAAATTTTTGTTTCATTTTGTTTCAACTTTCTGTTGGTTGATTGCTGTGACCTTGTGTTGCTTGCATATCTTAGAGATGTAGATTCCTGTTGTATTTTGTTTGAACTTTCTGTTGGTTTATTACTGTGTCCTTGAGCTGTCTACATCTTGGCACCTTGGAAATCTTACCTTGTTTTTTCACTTTTATCTGTAGTTGGCTTACTTATTGATAACTTATTGAAATTTCTTAAAGTACATCTGAGTTATAATTTTAATTCTTGTTCTCTTTGATATTGGTAAGCGTTTAAATTTTAAACGATTTCATATAAAATACTTTAATTTGACTGCATATTTCCTAGATATGCTTGTGTTAATGGAGGTTAAAGCATGATGGGATGAACCAAGGGCCTTAACGTCATGTAAAGAATGCTATTTTATGTTATGTCTAGGATCTTGCTACTTGTTGCACAATATGTTGCCATAAACTTGGGGTTTTCAATTCATATCGCAGGTAATAGTATATGCTACAGGTCGTGCTATGGTCTTATTTGTTACTATTTGTTAATATCATCAGGCCCATTATGTTCATATATAAACAAGCCCTTAAACTGTTGTTATTGGAAGTGTTAGGGAACTCCTTAAGTCAAATACACTTTTCATAAAAAGATTATCCGTTGGAAGGTGCTTGTAGTAGTATAGCTTTTAGTCACTTGATTGGAACTATGAAGTTAATAAGTTCTGATATTTCATTTCAGCATACACTGAGCCAGCTGTGGTTGGTTTTGTCTGGCACATGTTATGTTGACCTTATGATCATCACTATAATTGTCACCATGACCAAGATCACAAGCTTCTAAGTGTTGAGCTAGGAATGAATATAAATATGCTTTTGAGCTATACCATATTATGCCAACAGTTTTATCTGTGAAAGTACCAGCTGATCATGAGCACATCTCTAACTTTTTATTTTTTACAACACTAACTTTATTTCGTATCTATTGGTACAAAGTGTGTTAGTAGAAGATCAACTACACAGAACATTTATAGGTATTCCCTCTTAGGGAGGTCAGGGAGAGGCCATAAACAAGAAGTTTAGATTCTCTTAATGTACTAACACAATTAGGCCATTGTGCTTGTGTGCACAGTAGTATTGGATAGATCTGGGTGACCTGAATGAGGATGTATCTCTGCTGAACTAGTTTGGGTCATTAGCGTTTTTAGTCATGTACCAAAGAATAAACTGAGTTGAAGTATGTGCCTTTATTTATTTATTTATTTATTTATTTTTTTTTTTTTTTTTGCGGAAATGCTTGTGGTGAAGCTTAAGGATCAAGGTGCTAATTCTGACTAACAAATCTCCCTCTCATAGTCTTTTCTAGTATTTTGTCATATAATTATTGTGAGGGTGACAAAATTTTGTTAAATAGCTTACGTTCTGCTCAATCTGTGTTAGGCTCTAATATATTTTTCATAGGTTTTTGCTAGATGGTATAGAGCACCTGAGCTGCTATTTGGCACTAAGCAATATGGTCCTGCAGTGGATGTCTGGGGTGCTGCTTGTGTGTTTGCAGAACTACTATTGAGAAGACCTTTTTTACAGGTAAGCTTGTTGTACTTTACAAATTTTGTTTATTTATTTAGGATGTGTATATTTATTTGACCTCTTGTGGGTTATCAAAATCATGAATATAGAAACCATTTGTTAGTTATATATCGAAAGTTAACCTCTATTTCTCTGTTTTGTCTGATTTTGAAAGTTGGGATCACACTAACCTTAAAATTTGGCAAGGTGATTGCCCGGAAGACCTATATATGTTGATTGTCATATTACTGATTATTTGCTAAGCTTGATGCAAGAAGTTGGGTTTAGAGGAGCATACAATCATTGATAGAAGTGAATAGAGAGGGTATTTGTTATTGCAACATTTTTTGGGGGGGGGGGGAGGGGGGTTGATTTGCGCATCCTAATGCTCATTTGTAGCCTTAAATTTCTGTAGTTAAATAAAAGTAAAAGATTTGATATCATGAAAGTATATACTAAGACTTTTCTAATAAGACCATGTATAACTATATTTTTCCTTGTGTATACATCACATTGGTCACAATATGTAATCACAGAGGAGTGTGAGTAATGTCAAATGTCTAGTTGGTGCAATATTAGGGGAGTGGATGAAGTAATTAATATGTAAACTAATTATTTACGTAATGGAATTATTTTTTCTAAAGCTCTAATGCGGCAAGTCAAAGTTCAAGTTCTGGTTAGTATTGGACTATTGAAACATCTGAAATTTAATTCCATAGAAATAGAATCCCACACTGCTATAATTCATGATATAAAGTATCAATTACTACGGAGAATCCCTTACAAAACACTCTTTATGTATTGGAATGATCTTAATTTAATTATATGATTGATGATATTCGTACAAGATCTACAGATGGCCTTGTGTCAAGTGTTTATAGCCTGTGTACAAGGCCATCCATATGCATCTACTATGAACCATATGGCCTTTGGAAATAAACTTGGATATAGACTTCTGGCTTTCTTTTTCTGTGCGTTATTATAATTTATATTGCATGCTATGTTACATGGACTCGGATACGTATCCGTGTCCGAGTGTCCGTCAATTTCCAAAATTTTAGGACACGGGGACTCTGTCCTATATTTAGACACGGGTGCGGGGACACGACACTTTCATATTTTGCAAAAAAATTATACATTACAAATTATTTATATATTTCATTAATTTTCTTTGTCTAATACCTAGGAAATTAAAATATAATATTATTTTAAAATAATTTAAAATGGACTAATTTAAATAATATAGTAGCATGACAGACAATATAAATTAAAAAATACTTGTAGTAAAAGTAAGTACTCCGTACGTAGTAATAAGTGTACTGTAGTATGTGTAGTACAACTTTTTTTATATAAAAAAACAAGAGTTGTAAAAGAATGTACTAGTATAAAAGAGAGAGGATGAGTGGTCAAAAGTCAAAAGACAAATAAAGTAACTAAATTCAAAAGCTACGACACAGCTGTCCCACTTTTCCACCCTTATTAATTAACAGCTGTCCTACTTTTCCATCTTTTCCTCACTTATATCAGAGTAAATACCAAAATTTTCATTTTCTCTTGCTAATATCGATCAACTCATGCCGGAAACAATGGAGTCTGCGAAAAATTTATACCAACCACGATTTCAAGTCGGCAACAATGGAGTTTCAGCCTCTCTCTGAAGTGTCCAAGTGCACACTGCCAAATCTGACACGAATTTCGTGTCCGTGTTTGCGTCGTGTCGTGTCGACACGGACACTTCGGGATTTTGGCCGAGTCCGGTGAACATAGATTGCATGTATATTTCACAAGCGTGTTGGGTCTCTTAGGTGAGTGTATTGGATGTTGTATTATAGGTTTTTGTTTTCTTTTGATTTGGTTGTATATCTCTTTATCTGCAATTACTATTATAAATCTGTGCTTAACATACATGATGTATTTACTATTTCATGCCAACCTTCTTGGGTCTATGGACACTTTGCTCTTTGGAGTTCTTTTGAAAGATCAAAGTTATTTCATGAAATTGAGTGATTTCACTTGGATGAAGTACGTTTTCAGTAAATTTTGTTTGGAATGGGAGGCTCGATCAATGGGGTGTCGTAAAACAAAGGGAAAGGGTATGCCTTCAAGAAAGGGAAAGGAGGTGAAAGGAAATTAGAGCCGTTACATTTGTCTTTTAAAAAAACCACCATAGCTCATCGTCTTTCTTTTTTCTGAACCCCATCTCAACCTCCACAACCAAACCCCACCTTCTTTCTCATCGGAGCACTGCCTCACTCTTGTACCACCATATCTTATTGGAGTACCTTCCCTTTATCTTTTAGTCTCTTTTGTTTTTCCCCCTCTTAGATCTAGTTTTTTTCTAGGATGAGGGTGGGCATTTGATGGTGAGGGTAGGTTTTCGGATGGGATTTGGATGGATTTTAAGGGTCGAGGTGGGTTTTCTGGTGGGGTTGTGAGTGGGTTGTTAGATTGGGGTGTAGTTTAGAAGAGTTTGTAGAAATAAGGTTTGTTTTGTAGTGGATTGGTGACGCAGTGGTGGTGAGGGTGGTAGTGGTGGGTTGTTAGATTAAGGTGGTGGTTGGGTAAATTTCTCTAAGATTAAGTGGGTTTTTTAGTAAATAAGCAGTGGTGGTTAGGGTGGTAGTGGTGGGTCATTGGCAGTAATAAGTTGGTGATGGTGGAATACATGGAAGTGGTGGTTGTGGTGCGGTGGCGGCTATGAAAAGAAATTGGAAATATGTTGGGGGGGGGGGGGGTGGGGGTGGGGTTGGGGTTGGGGTTGGAGGAATCAATGTAGTAGACTTTGGGTTAATAGGGAGGATAAATGGAATGTCCTAAATGTCGATAAACATCAACAAAGGAAATTTGATTCTCTTATCTTACCTGAATATCATTTAGTGTTTTAATTTTTCACACACCAAGTGTCGTACCACGTTGAATAAATATAGATGGATTTTGTTGCAAAAAAAAGGTTAATTTAGAATTCTATTTTCAATTAAATTGAATCATAATATAGTTTTATCTTAAAAGTCCATAAACAACCCGCACATCGCACGGGGCACAAAACCAGTATATATGTATAAGAGTAATTTCACAAGCCTAAAATGTATTAGGGTGGTCAGTGAGGACTTATGTATTGTACTGAAGGGTCAGTGAGGACTTATGTATTGTACTGAAGGGAAGTTTTTTTAGGAGAGTAAGGATGGCAAAACTGTTTTTATAATGTGATAGTGGCATTTCTCTTGACAGATTGTTTGAGGTTTGAGAGTACATGTTTTCCCGCGTGGTATTTGGAAAGTCTTTGCATCCTACGTCTTTGTTTTGGGGCATTTCTTGTGTTGCCCCTCAACTTTTAAAACCAAGACTTAGGTCTTGTTTGGCTGATTTCTTATAGGCACTCAAATTCCTAAGAAGTACACTTAAAACTAAAAGTATGTTGTTTGGTTAACCAAAAAAGTGCCAAATGGGAATTAATTTACCCACCTTCTTTCGGTAATTCAAATTTTCTAGGAATTGTAATTTCCTTAATACCTACCAAACAAACTAAAGCGAATGCTTGGGGATCAGGTAAGAGAAATTATTTCCCATAAATTGTAAATTACTAGGTGAAGTTAAGTCCCATTGCAACCAAATAAGGCCTTTGTATTCTATCTATTCAGTTGAATAGCTGAATTGGGATATTATTGTTCATAAACTTAGAGCTTGATCCTTTCTTTTCTTTCTTCAAAACCTTCATTTATGACCAATCGTTGCCTTTCAAAGGGAAAAGTGATATACTATAATCTAAGAGAGCTAAATTTCATGACATTTTTTTTTATAATTCATCCCAAGGGTCATTTTACTAATTTATGGTAGTTGCTAGGGAATGCTCTAATGGAAGAAGGGAGAGAAGAAAACAGGTAGGTGGTGCTAAACGCAGATTGTGAATAAAAAGTTGATAGTTACCATTGTGAGAACTGCAAAGTTATTTTTTGTGGAAAAAATTACTTTAAGGGTTTGTTTGGACAAGCTTCTGAAAAATAACTTCTGTTTCCTAGAAGTAGTTTTCCAGAAACTATTTCTAGGGAAACACTTGTAAGAAACAAATTTGTTTGGCCCATCAAAAATCAGAAGTGATTCTTAGATTGAGAAACTATTTTACCTTGTTTGGCCCATATCAGTTTTTTTTTTTTTTAAAAAAATTATTTGGGAGAATAAACTAGTATTAATTTCTTGTACATTGTTGTTAATAGTAGTTTTTTTTTATTTATTTTTTTAATTTTTGGTTAGCAAATTGTTTATAATTGCTTGTAAGATAAAATTTTAATTTAAAATTTTGAACAATTCATAAGTCTAAATACTTAGATTTTTAAATTTCATATTAATAATTCATATCCAAAAGTTTCATACGTTCATAATTACAAACATAATGTCTAATATAATTATTCCTAATAAAAGATCCAATAATGTTACAATCAACGACTCATTAGAGGAGTTGCAATATTGTAGCGAATAGACTCCATACTAAAATCATCCATTGATCCATCATGTTCTTTAAGAGTAGTTACCGGGTTGCCTCCAATATCCACACCCCCTTCAACTTCAGGTATATAATAAGGTATATAATAAGGATCTGCATCACATTTATCAAATTCCAAATCTTCAAGCGCGTGTCTTCTTATATAGTTATGCATAGCCATAGTAGTTGCAACAAGTTTCTATTGAGTTTCCAACGGAAAGCTGGGCATAATTGATAATATCCTCCATCTTTTTTTCCAGACACCAAATGTTATCTCTATAACGTTTCTCAACGACGAATGTGAATAATTAAAGACTTCATAGAAACCATTTGGAGGTTGTGTTCAACAACGAAAATCAGGAACATGGTATCGTTCACCTTTGAAAGGAGCCAAAAATCCTTTCATATTCGGATAACCCGCGTCAATAACATAATATTTTCCTGTACATTGTATAATATTAGATAATGACACCATAGTATATAATAATGGTAACGATTATACACATAATAGTTTCATAAATATATACCTTCGGGTGGATGA